CGGGAGGCAGAGCCAGGCGGATCTCTGTGAGTTCGAGGCCAGACTGGTCTACAGAGTGAGTTCCAGGAAAAGGCGCAAAGCTATACAGAGAAACCCTGTCTCAAAAAACCAAAATATATATATATATACTTATAGGGCTGGAGAGATGACTTATCATTTAAGAGTACTAGCTGCTTCAGTAGAGGACCAAGGATTAATTCCCAGCACCCATGTGGTAGCTCACAACATCCATCCCAATGTATCCTATGCCCTCTTCTGGCCTCCATGGGCACTAGGCACACATGTCGCCCACAGACATAAATGTAAGCAAAACACTCATATATATAAAAAATTAAATAAATAAAATATAGCATGTAAAATAGAATACATAGAAATGTTGCCACATTTCCACACATCTATACGTGATTGCACTAACCAGTTGGTATTTAGAGATAAAAGATCAGGTGATGTTATATCATAGAGAAGAAACTGATTATCGTTTTAGGAAGATCGTGAAGCTACATGTCAAGATTTATAAGTCTAAGTGGTGACAACAGGTGTTCACTACATTATAGTTTATATTACTTAATATTAGTAACAGTATCTATAAAATACTACAGATATATTGTGGTGGTTTGAACAGGAATGGCTCCCACAGCCTCATATATGCTTAGTTACCAGGAAGCAATATTTGAGAAGGATTAGAGGTGTAGCCTTGGGTGGCACTCAGGAGGCAGAGCCAGGCTAATCTCTGTGAGTTCAAGGTCAGCCTGGTCTACAGAGCAAGATCCAGGACAGACACCAAGAACTACACAAAGAAACCCTGTCTTGAAAAACCAAAAAAAAAAAAAAAAAAAAAAAAAAAGTGTAGCCTTGTTGGAGTGAGCTTGTTGGAGGAAGTGTGTTGTGTCTCTAGGGGTAGGCTTTAAAGTTTTAAAAGCACACACCAGGCTCAGTGTTGCTCTCTCTGCCTACAGATCAGGATGTAGCCCTTAGCTACTGCTCCAGTGCCTGCCTGCACGCTGCCATGTTTCCCTCAATGATGATAATGGACTAAACCTCTGAAACTGCAAGCAAATCCCTAACTAAACACTTTCTTTTATAAGATTTCCCTCGGTCATGGTGTCTCTTCACAGCAATAGAACAGTGACCAAGAGACCAGGACACATATGTTTACATGTAAAACACATACATGTATATCAAAATAGAATATATAAATAATTTGATGAATTCTTTGTTGCTGTTTTTCAGAATTACTAATGCTAGATAAAACAATTATGTTTTACCTTGCCCAGTACATTCAACTCACAGTCAATGGACTGCATGTAGCTCAGGATAGCTATAAATGTAGCCTAACACAAAATTGTAAACTTACTAAAATGCTCTAAGACATTTTTGTGATTTTTTTTTTTTAAGCTGGATTGCTCAGTTCTCAAGGGAGAGCTTGTCGATGACAGCATCGCATTACAATGTCAAAGGTTGGACACACCTATTTTCTTTCCGTCTAGTCAGTGACCTAATAACTTTGCAGGGTACAGCTTAAACTCAAATGAATAAAATAAAATAGTATCATTTTTTAACAGAGCTCTTGAAGGTAACTATTGTTGCCTGAGTGATTACAGTTCCAAATGATGTTGCGCTTAAAACATCCACATTCTTGGAACAAATTTGGTCTTGTGAAGATAAAAGTATCACCGGTTTTCTTCTGTAATCCTTGACAATTACATTACACATCCCCCTAGTGAGCTGACATTTCAAGCAAACATAAATCATGCTCTACAAATAAATGGTGGAGTTACAACTCTGAGTGTGCCAGTTATATGACGTGGGCTTCAAACTTAATATAAAATCATTTGTGAAATTCTCTGAATTTTACTAAAAGTAGCATCATAGCCGGGCGGTGGTGGCGCACGCCTTTAATCCCAGCACTCGGGAGGCAGAGCCAGGCGGATCTCTGTGAGTTCGAGGCCAGCCTGGGCTACCAAGTGAGTTCCAGGAAAAGGCGCAAAGCTACACAGAGAAACCCTGTCTCGAAAAACCAAAAAAAAAAAAAAAAAAAAAAGTAGCATCATGATTCATCATGATTTAAATATGTTCAATATATATATATATATTGAACTGATAACTCTCATTCCCTCACTGGAAAATAACTATCTAAATAATAAAAATAGTAAAAATCTAATTTTGATTAGGCATTCTGTGACCCAAGTATATAGGCTAACATCACCTTGAGATGTTAATAGTAGTTTAAAATATATACTGCCCCAAAGAGGCATTTGTATGTGTGCACATGTTTATGTGTACACTTGTATGTGGAAGTGCTTGAGTATGGAGGCAGGAGGTCAGTGTCAGGTGTTTTCTTCAATCATTTCTCCACCATATTTGTTAAGGATTTATTTATTTGTATTTTATGTGCATGCATGTTTATCTGCATGTATCTGTATACACCATTTGCATTCCTGGTGCCCATAGAGGCCAGAAGATGGCAGATCCTTGGAATTGGAGACAGTTTTAAGCAATTATATGGATTCTAGGAATCAAACCAGCTCCTCTACAAGAGCAGAAAGCACCCTTAACTACTGAGCCATCTCTCTAGCCCCTCTCTACCTTATTTTTGAGACAGGGCCTCTAACTAAACCTTGAACTCACCAACTAGCTACTGCCTCCTGTCTCTGCTGCCCCATCGATGTGTATTGCTGCATCTGGGTTTTTACGGGAGTGGTGGGGATCTGAACTCAGGTACTAATGATTCCCCACCAAACATTTTACGAAATGAGCCATCTTCACATGCTCCAAAAGGCATTCTTATTACCTCTGTTACATCAGCCAATATAGACTGATAGGAGATCTGAACTCTAACTTCTATTAAATCTGAAGGGCATTTCTAATACTAGTGTGACTGGCCACCAGAGACGATGAGGGAGAACAAGTTATTTCAAATGTCAGATACTAAAAAGCCACTCAAAGTAGCCTACAAAGCAAAAAAACCAACAGAAAATTAGGAAACTATCTGGGCAAATTCAGAGTTGAATGTTATAGCCATAACAGGGTGGTGAACTGCCCAAATCTGTTTCCTACTTAAATACTTATGAATCTGTAGCCTTGGTGTAACTTCTATTATTTTCTGAAAAAAGGTGAAAATCTAGTGCAGATATATTGAAATTATGTAGTTGTGGTTATATGCGGGACAAAAAGAAATATAGAAACCATGTAAATATCTGTGATTATTTTGATAAGTATATACGTAGTAGATATTTTCCATGATAACTTCATTAACACTAACCATATCCATATATTTTAGTGAATAAAAGGTTTCTACATTAGCACAATTCCTAGTATATTTTTAATTCCTTAAGTATATGTGATAGTCTTTCAGGTATCAATACTGAGAAGAATTAGAAAATTGATCAGACAGCTGTATCAGCACATACATATACAACCATAAGATGTGGCTTCATTCAGTGAGCATAGAATAAAATTCTCTAGTTTCTGATAACAGAGAGATGAAGTTAGTTCAAAATTAAAGTAAGCATACTTTTAAAAGCACTTGGAAACTTTATGATACAGTTGACAGAATTTTTACTAAAAGTTAAATTATGTTATCTTACTGAGTGTCAAGGTTCTGATGCTATTTGCTTTACTCCCCCTCCTTAGAGGGCAAAGCATAGAAGCCTACCACAGATCATGCATATGTTAAATATGGACTTGCAAATAAAAAAAATAATCAAAATAACAAAGCTATTTCACTCAGCCAAGACAGCATTTAGTTTCCATTTGCTTACTGTTCATTTTTGTTAATTTCTTTCATCTTTTATTTGTAAATAGAGTTCACTGGCCACAATTACATATTAGGATTATTAAAGTATAATGTTTCTACCCAATCATAGTCAGAGTATCAATAAATTAAAATAAAGTTTGGCATGGTGGTACACATCTGCAGTCCCAGCTATTTGGGAGGCTAAGACAGGAGGACAGCTGGAGCCATCATACTAGATGTCAGTCTAACAACATAGCAAGACCCCATCTTCAAAAGTAAAAAATAAAAAGGAATTAAGGTATATAGGCTAATAAAAAGAAAACAAGATCATTGGGGGTTAAGTCCTTTTTGATTTATTAGTTGAGTGATCTGATCTTAAAAAAATTTATTTAACTATTTTGATTTAGTTTCCCCTTTTCTAACATGCAAAAAGATCTTATTGCTATACTCCACAGAGTTAATAAATATAAACAGCGTTGTAAAACTGGAAAGCAGGGATGAATTCATTGGCTTATTATAGAGTAATGACTTTGCTCAGGAGAGAGCTTTACACACAGTATGTTCTTACACACAGAACGTACACACAGTATCTGTTTCTTAAAGATTTTTCTTAAAGAATTTATATGTATGTGTGTGTTTGTATGAATGTATGCAATTTGTGCACCAGTAGCTGGAGAAGGCATCAGATTCTCCAGAACTGTAGCTACAGGCAGTCGTGAAAGCCCAAAGTGGGTGATGGGATCTGAATGTATTTCTCCAAAAGCAGTACAGGCTCATACAGACTGAGCTAGCTCTCCAACTCTGGATATGCTCCTTTGCATTTAAATGCTTAATTTAAATAATGTAATTAAACAATCTCCTCTTTTTTAGTAAATTAACATAAATTAACATAACTAGGAAGTACATAGGAATAGTTATCATATCTTATGACCAAAAGTGACAACATATATATATGCTTTTAATATTTTGCTTTATTAACAAATGATATTTGTACTTCCAACTAAACATTACAAATAGAACTTATAAGGAGAAAAGTTATTTATTAAATTTCTAAATTAAATCTTAATCCTTTTTTCTTATTTAGCTCATTTGATGCAAGCACATTAATAGTAGACCATACTCTTCCATAGCAATAAAAAAATAAATTACTACTTTGCTCTTTCGACACTCATGATCTGAATGAGGCTTTAGATAGAACCGAATACAGTTTACAACATCAAGCAAACACAACAATCAAAGGAAAAATACTTGCAACAAACCATACCTAGTAATAAGAACTGCATTATCGTGGTGGGCAATCCCATTTTCTGGAATGGTGTTTCCATCACTTTGGTGGGAGAGAATGGATTTCTGCCACTTACAGAAGCTATCGAGGGACTTGTCTGCATGATGGTTTATCTCCAAGTTTGGCTGCAATACAACATGCATACCAGAAATGTTCCAAACAAATTACTAAGGTCAGTTGTCAAACTCTTGCAAACTAAAGTGGGACTATAATTAGAAGCAGTGGTTTCTAGGAATAATCTCCTGCCGATTTTTATCTCCACAACATCTGACCTAGGGTTCATTTAATTTACTACGGAATAGACTTTCATTCCAGTTCCAACTTCAACAATAAAGAAAGCATATATGAGATCATCAGCATACAAAAAGCAACCAAAACCATTATTATCAGGTAAGCCATACAAATAAAATGCTCATCTTTAATTCTGAAACATGTAGCAAGTATGCATTTATGGAGAGAAAGCTTTAATAAGAGATGAGATGTATATTATTACAGTGTATTTCAATATTGCATAAAAATTAAAGTTTAGAGCAAAAAAAATTTAACTAGAACTTCCTAAGAGAAGTATAAAAGAAATATATCTGTTCATAATGATAATCCCATAGCCTAAAAGCTTTGATATAAAAACATTCTTACCTGATCTTCTGTGAGAACAATTAAGCGAGCCACTATAATATTCACAACGTTTCCTAGACTGGAGTCACGGTAAAGTTTGGCAACCTGACCTCCAGAAAATAAGAAAAGACAAAACGTCAGACAAAAAGAATGGGAGGATATTTTGAATTTCTAAAAAGAAAAGAAGCAATTTTTAGGACTTTATGGTGTATACTAAAAGATATTCTTTTACCCTATACCACTTAGGACTCCACCTTCAAGATGCTTTGGTTAAAGGATTTTATGTAAATCTACAACAAGAAGTATTTTCTCCTAGAGATGAACTACATGCATCACAAAATCTATAATATGAGCTGATGTTTCAAGTTCCTTAAATAAGATTTAACAACTCATTTTAAACATTCACATTAAGTAAAAATGAACAATAAGACATTTTAAATTTTATTTTCCTTAAACTTAAAAGTTAATTGACCACCTGGGTATGGTGGTGCATGCTTTTAATCAAGCAGATCTCTGCGTTCAAGGCCAGCCTGGTTTACATGGTAAGTTTCAGATAGCCAAGGTTACATAGAGAGTCCTTGTCTAAAAAAAAAAGTTGGTTGGTTGACAAATTCTTAGTCTCAGGGAGGGGAAGTTAGTATAATTCTATGGCAGAGAATGTATTTATTTTCTTTGTACAAGTTCTAGACTAAATCCCAAGCAGTAATTAAAGTAATGATACAAATTCATTTTTTACCAATTTACACAAATAAAAGTTTAATATTATTTATCTCAGTAAAAATTCATTACTTTAGTATAAAACACAATAAGCTACTTAGTAAGGCAGTCTATAGAGGGATCAAACTTACAATATTCATCACACTCAAAATATAATGTTCAATGTCTTTACGGCCATGGTAGCCCACCATCATTTTGTCGGCCACTACCAGGGTCTCCACAAATCTCTCAGTGCTCACAGATCTTCTCTGTCTGCCGTGAATATGTGTGTCATTAATTGGTAGTAAAGAGGAAAAAGCAGAAGACGTCTTATTCAGCCACCAAGGCTTGCCATTTCTGGTGAGATCTGCAATCAAAAGAATTATGTAATTCAGATCGATTTACTAACAAAATACACATATATAGATTTCATATAGATAGGCTTCTCATAAACTCTCTAATGGATCAAGATATTCAAAATAAGAGAACAGAGTAAAGAACTGTATAAATAAGGAAAAGTTTCAAGTCTTCAAATTAGTTATCTAGAAAAATTAATGTTAATATTCAACTGCTCATGAAAATGAGATCAATAAAGCTATGAAGTAAATTAATTAATAGATTTTTAAACAAGTCATTTCCTATTATTCCAGTGGCTAATTATATATTGGAACATTTACTGTAATGAACCATTTAAGATTTATAATAAACTGGGGCCTAGCCTATATATATGTGTGTTTTTGTTTTTTTCGAGACAGGGTTTCTCTGTGTTCTTTTGGTGCCTGTCCTAGATCTCGTTCTGTAAACCAGGCTGGCCTCGAACTCACAGAGATCTGCCTGGCTCTGCCTCCCAAGTGCTGGGATTAAAAGTGTGTGCCACCACCGCCCAGCTGGTGCCTATATTTTAAAAATAGACTAAAACCATGCTGACGGAGAACGATGCTGCTTCAGGATCTACCCCAATGTGAAAAGCATCTGTGTTACAGGAAGATGCTCTTGTTAAAACGTCTTAATTAGAACCAATTCTGTTCTTCTCGGTTTTAAAAAAAGCTACAAATTAGGCTTCCCACATAATTTTGATGTCTACAACTATTTATGTTGGCAGAACACACAGAGTTTACTTTTCACAAGTCTAAAAGTGGAGTTGCTCAGTGGTTAAAGAGTGTGTGATGCTTGACCAAGTTCAGATCATCATAAACCACTTAAATCCAGGTGAGTGAGGCAAATCACCTGAGATTCCAGCCTCAGAAGGCAGAAACAGGGGATCCCAAGAGCAATCTAATCATATAAGTGATTGGATTTAGAGACCCTGACTTGATAAATAGGTGGAAAAACTAAGAAGATGATTTCCGACATCAATCTGGAGCCTCCTTAAGTACATGCATGTTACATGCACATATATCCACACACAAGCAAAAGGAAACATGTACACACACACACACACACACACACACACACACACACACACACACACACACACACACCTGGAAAATGGAAACAAGAAAATAAAATAAAGATAAGGGGTATTAACATGAGACCTGAAAGATATGTTAGCAACATACTCTTTTTTGAGAATATCACTTCTAACTTTTCTTTCCTCCCTCCAAAACCTCCAACATACTCCTCCTTGATCCTTTCAAATTCATGGGCTCTTTTTTCATTAATTGATGTTAGATGCATATGTGTGTATACATATATAGGCATATATATGTATATATTCCTAAATATAACCTTCTCAGTCTTTATAATGTTAATTGTATGTACGTTTTCAGGGCTGACCATTTGATATTGAATAACCAGTTGGTGTGCTCTTCCCTGAAAAAGACAATTTCTCCCCCTCTCAGCATTCCTTAGTTACCTATAGTTCTTTGTGTAGAGTTGAGGCCAAATGCCACCCAACACACCCCCACCCACCGTTCTCTTTGGCATGTCTATTGATGTTGTCATCCTTGTTCGGCTCATGGTTAGGTGGTCATGTGCTGAGAATTCCCAGGAATTCATAAGGATGACTCCAGCTTAGACTACTAGCAATAGTGGAGAGGGTGCCTGCACTGGCCTATCACTACAAATAGTATGTGATTCCACTCCTCAACAAAACGTTTTAAGCCCATTCATATCCAAGACACAATTTAAGGATTTCTTAAACAACCTCCAAACTGACTTAAAACTATTACTGGGTAATACTTTTTAAGATGGTTCTAGACATTATAAATCTAACCACTCAAGTTTGTATGCATAGTTTTATTACTAATAATATTTTACTTTCCAGAAAAAAGAGGCATAAGCAATACACAATGCTTCCCAAACGCTTGCACTCACCTGAAACCCCACAATGAGAATGATCATAGATATGCCGTTGCTGGAGTGTAGACTTTTTGTAAATAACATGAGGATGGCCATTTTCATAACTAAAATGTTTGGAATCCTCTGTGGTATTCTTTAGAGGCTCAATAAAATATTCTTCATCTTCTGTAGCAATAATACCATGCTAAAAGAAGGAGCAACAAAGGATTTACCTAGAAGGGTCATTTTAAATAAATATCTTTATTACCAAGATTAAAAGATAAATCAATATCTTCCCAAAACAGAGGTTAAAATACATGTTAATTTAAAAATTATTTATTTTCTATATTATGTAAATGTCTTCGTGTTTTAAGAAAGGCGATTAAACACCTGCACATGTTCTGCAGCATACTAACTATGTCACATGCACATCTCCTCAAAGACTCTGAGTCAGCAGAGACAGCTAGCTATACAACCAAGTTCCTTTCCAGATGCTGGCTCAGGTACAGCTTCGTTAGTATTAAGTTTTACCCAATACGAAAGGGCAGGGGGCTGCAAATCACCTGCAGGATCAGTCTCTGAATACCATTCCAGTGGAATTCTCCACTCCCTGCTTCCCTACTGCCAACTGAATGGAAGGACTCCCAACTTTAGGGGCAGTGGAAGCCAAAAAAGAAGGCTGCTAGGTCCCTGAGCGGCCTCTTAGAAAACTGCCTGATGTAAACACTAACACAAGGGAGAAATGAGCTTCTTCAGTGGTAATCGTGGACATCTGAGGTTTGTGATCTCCTGATGAATATGTTTTAGTTAACATATGTTCCCTTTTGGATATGAAGTAACAGGCTCAGAAATCAAGAAATTGTCCAGTACTGTATAGAGAGGAAGGAAATGGAACTTGCTGCAGTTCAAGACAAGCTCCTCTGTTTCCCACAGTATTTCATCCCTTTGTGCAAACCTGTTTAATCGCCTCCTGTTCAGCTGCCCTAGCGCTCCTTAAAGCTTCTTGGCTTAAACAGAGTGGCATCTGAGCTAAATTAGAGCTTATTATCAACATCATTTATTTTCAGCTAATTTAATTCCATAAATGTATTTATTTAATCTAGAAACTCATTTAATTTCAGTGAATTCACACGGTTGCAGCACAAATCTTGAAGTCAGTTAAACTCAGCGCAATGTTCCTACGACATGCTTTAACTCTCAACTAAACTACTTGCTGTCTTCGAGAAAAGCATTGTCTTACATCTCTCTGTATCAGTTAGAGCCCCAGAGCGTGTCTTGTATGAAGTAGGTTCAAATGGTATGTTGGTGAAAAAGAAATAATATGGGGAAAGTTACCTGCATGAAAAATAAGAACTCCATGAAATAAATAAATAAGAACTCTACTCTTCTAATCCTATTTTCCTAATTATGGCATATGAAAAGATGGCTCTTTATCCAACTACCCTTCAACACCAGGTAAAATACAAACCCTCTGAACTTATTTCCTCAGCTGAGAAAAATGAAAGAATTGGTCTAAATTACTCATTTTAAAATAGCACTCTGGGGAGCCCTACGGGTTCCATGAAGTACCCCTGAGGGATTGTCCCAGACAACAAAGGGAGATCTAAATGACTTGGATTCCAGGGCTCAGAATCAGCTGTTTTTATTAATCAGTGTGCTAAGTGTCCAAATAATAGTTCATATGAGAAAAGGGTTTCCTTCTCTTAAAAAAAAAAATAGAAAACATCTGGTCCAAATAATCTCTAATGTCCCTTTGATTTCCAAACTTCTATGATTCTATTTAGAAAAATTCATTTGAACTACTACATGCTTAGAAAGATAAGACATAATCAGATATATTATAACTTACAGAGAAGGTTGTCATTCACCCACAACCTACATGAAATGAGTTGAATAAAAAAAGAGGAGCCCTTAGTAACTTCATGTTTTTTTATGATTGTTTATATCCTTATGGGTAACAGTCCCTATATTAAATTCAAACCCTGAGGAATAACTCAATACACTGTTAACAAACTCCAATATCTATGTAAAAATGAGTTTACCGGGCAGTTTAATAAGTACTAGAAAACTGAACACAGTGTTTTAAAAACACAGGTAAGTTTTGTTAAGACTGATTAGAAGAAAGTGTAGGACAGCAATCCAGAGTTTGACCCACAAATGCTAGGACACTGACGTCACACTGGTCTGTCATCAGTATTAAGTTGAAAGCCTCTAACAAAAAGCTCAGGTTATTGAGGGAAAACAGATTCAGAAGACTAGTAAGAAAGAAGAAGAAACCCTGTAAGAATGAAAAGATTTTGAAATGGCATTTCAGAGGTTTTATGTAGTACGTATCCTATAAAATGTTTCTACGTGTCTCACTTAATCTTAATAGCTCTATGAAATAAACAATATGATCAGCTTTACTCTACAAATAAGCAAAAGGAGCAAAATTTAGCAGCAAACTCATTTGACTGACTTCAGCGTTTAGACACTTAATCACTATATTATAATCATCTCATCATAAGGGTTGTTTCTGATTGAGTGTCTAGGGTAGTATGAAAACTATACTAGTCAGCAGAGGTACAACAGTGAACCAAAGAAAGTCTGGGCTCTGTCATAATGATTACAGTCTAGTGGGAAAGGTAGGACAAGGTAATTAATTAATTACATATATAAATGGTATATCAGATCATGATGTTAAGAAAGGGAGAAAAGTCAGTGAAAAAGGACAGAGAAGAATTATAAGAAGGTTATACAAACTATTTAGAATATTTGGAAATATCCTCTATGATGTACTATTTGGACTGCAGAAATAACTCAGTTGGTAAAGTACTTGCCTCCTGCACATTAAGACCTGAGATGAAGCCCCAGAAACCATGTACAAATACAGGTATGGTGTCCCACACTTGTAATATTACTCCCTAGGGGAATCCCTTTATCCCTGAGATAGATAAAGATAGATCATTGAAGCTCGTCTAACTTACTTAGCCCAAGTCAATGAGGGACTCTGTCTCAAAAAACAAAGTGTATGGTACCCAAGGAATAACACCTCAGGCTGACTACTGGTGTCTACATGCATGGAAACACACATGCACACCTACACACTCACATAAAATATATTGATATTTGAACAAAACCTGCATAAAGTAAGTGAGGAAGTGAAAAAAGATGTATTGATAAAAAAGACCAAGCACAAAGAAAATGAGATATTGTGGGATATTTGTTTACACTGCATGATGTGTCTTTTAATAAAAAGCCAAACAGCCAATAGCTAGCCAGAAGGTTAGGTGGGACTTCCGGGCAGAGAGGAACTCAGAGGGTTAGATTCTAAGCACTCAAAAGACACCAGCAAGCCTGGAGCAATTCAGATGTACAGAATGGGAGAGAAGTAAAAGTCATGTGGCAGAACCTAGATTAATAGAAACAGGTTAATTTTTGTTTATAAGAGTAATTTGGAAACATGCCTAAGCTCAAGGCCAAGCTTTCATAATTAATAATAAGTCTCCATGTCATTATTTTGGGGCTGGTGGTCCCCTGGGAAAGATAAGCTACGATGAGGTAAGAGCATCCATGCACTATTTAAGAAACAGCAAGGAGTTACAATGGCTGACTGGGGGAGAGGGGGAAGTTATCATAAGATTAGAAAAGAGGAGACATGGATAAGTGAAGTCCCCAAAACATTACATCTGGTTGGCAAGAGTAGTTTCTCACTTCCCTCAGCATCCTTACTCATGCTTATTCTAATCGGATTAGGATCATGAGGACTAATATCATATCCTCACTGCTGGGTTTCTACAAGAAACTCAAGCTGCACTTCCTGACTACATACCCCATGTGTTAGAGACATCATTCACTCTGATTCTATGCTCTACTCCTTTACCCATCATCCTAGACACTTCCCAGGATCCCTTGTCATACTCAAGCCAATCAAAACTCCCCACATCTTCAGTCTCCTCTGTGAATGTTCTAACAAGAATATGAAACTCTCTAAATGACTTGGTGGAGTAATCTGGAACAGTGGTCATTTTCTAGCTTCTTGTGGTTCACTACCACTTCAAAGGTTTTTCTTTCTTTCTGTATGGAACACCAGTATCTCATGCCATAATCTTCTCTTTTTCAGTTGCAGTTATGTGACCTCAAGTCCCTAAGTAAATATTTTAATTTTCTGAATTGCAGTTTCTGCATTACTATTTCTCAAGTAATCACTCGTTTCAATATTTTATATCTTAATTCTTGAACTTAGTTATGTATACACATGTGCCCAAATTCCTTTACCATATCTTTTGATAACTAGAAAACAAAATGAATGGACCCTTTTCAGAATATTTTACTGATAATAATATAGATTTTCAGAGACCAAAATATAGATTATCAATAAAACTTATTGTAATGAAAAAAGTCACCAAAATATTTTAAATATGTCAAATATATTGTATAACAGTTAAAATATTTTCAGTGGCTCTATAATAATGACAATACTTTTATAATAATAAATAAATAATAGTTTAAAAGCAAAAAAAGTAACATGATACAATAGGAATATATTTAATTCATATTAGAATAAGAGCACTATATTGTTTCATCACTTATGTTTTGTGATTTAAGGAAACTCGTTTTTCAGTTAAGAACTAGTGTGATTTCAAAAAGACCCCTTCTGAGTTGGCAGCATGCTGTCCTAAACTCTCAGTGAACTGTACACTCAGGAGACTCAGTAAATGTCCTGTGACTAGATTCTGAGAGCTGCTAGGAAATTACCTCTAGACTGTACTGAGAAACTTTACTTCAGAACTGCACATGTCTAACAAGGTGAAAACCTGGTTAGAGCCAGAGTGTGCAAGGAAACAGACAAACTCCAGGCAGTGTACCCAACATCAAAAGGGGCAGCCCAGGGGTCTGTCTGCCATTCAGGAGGACTCCTATGGACCCAATACCATGGCCAGCATCTGTGATTTAATGTTGAAGAGCTGCTTATTGATGCCACCAACATGTCACCCGTTCCCACAAAGGATGGCCTAGAGGTGAGAACAACACTCACAGTCCAACTCCTGAACTGCCCAGAAGTATGACCAGTATCTGTGACTTGATCTGTAAATGACTGTTTGGACAGAACTAGCATCTGTGACTTGACTTTATAAAAGTCTGTCCACCATGCTGGCTCCATGGTTAAGGCACTGGCTGCTCTTCCAGAGAACCCAGGTTGGATTCCCAGAACCCATATGGTGG